TCTGGCTGTGCCCCTGTCAAATGGTGCCAAGTCCTTGGGCCTAAGCATTCTTGTTGACAGATGACTATGTATCTTTTTCTTCTTCCATCTACTCTCAACTTATCTGTTCAACCTCTTCTTGTATAGACAATCATCACTCCATCCATCAATCTTCTCTGGTAGAATATCAATGCTGATGTGAGGCACACAGTGTTCTTAGGAATTAAATATGTAAATTTTATTCATTTTTTGTGCAGGTATTCCATGTAGTTACTATCATGTGGCCCACCATGCAGGTCTTGCCAATCAGAAAAGTCTTACAGTTTTTTGTGGTACCTTGAGTTTTGAATTGAGCCTACCAAAAATCTCTCACTTGAGGTATGGTAGGGGAATCTATGACCAATTGGGTACATGGTTGATGTGGAATTTACAAGAAAGTGCAAAATGTCATCCCAAATCGTGCCTATCACTGTTACCAGCTCCCTTCTCATCACCCTAAATCCAAGTCTATTCAACCATCAAAGTTGAAAACTTTCATCCAATGTGAGGCATTTGACAGATTCCTCAATATTGCTGCGGCCGCAGCTGGCAGCTCTGCTGAATTCATGACACATATACCTTGTTGGGGGTTAATTCTCCTATTGTGGTGGGTAAAGTGCAAATTCAATAATTTGATACCCTAAAAACTCATCCTTCCCCTCCATTTTATACTTCTACCACACCAACTCTTCAAACCACGTTTTCAGTTTACACAATGGCTGGATTCCACCAACTAGCCCTTGTTCTCAGCTTCCATGATGGTTTGATTCAAGGGCCTATCAATGCACCAATTCAACAGGTAAAAGGTCCAAAACCATAAGCTCAACTTCTATTTCAATGTCCAGATTGCTGTTCAGCACAGAAATCCAGGTTACACTTTGTGTATTTGAGTATTATACTGTTTCACGGCTTCCTACTCATCAACTATGTCTCTGTCAGTTCAACAAGGTGTTGCAGTGCAAGCCTCAAAAGTGGCTGTGAAACCCTTTTGCTGAATTGAGAAGGGGAAAAATGGAGGTGCAAACTCTGCCCTTCGATACTATCAGAAACAAGGCCCACCAAGCTTAGCTTGGAAATTTTTAATAACCTGATAGGTTTGATTAGTTCAGGTAAAACCTTGTTTTATGAAAAGTAAAGGTTGAATATGTAATTTCTGATAAAACAAACTGCTATTTTATGTAACAGATGAAGGGTTTATATAATTTTTTTGTGACTGGTGAGCTATATACTGATGAACTGAGGAGACAGTGTGTTGATAATCACATTCCCCCCCCTCCCCACCCCTCCAAAAGGTGTGTGTGATCAAACTTGCCCCTCCCTGAGGGGCGGGTTTCATTGCACACCCCTAGCAAGCCTGATTTTCCAAGGAATCATGCCTCCAAGGGGTGTGCAATCAAACCTGCCCCTCAGAGACGGGTGGGTAGGATTTCACGCCAACCGAGAACCAAGATACCTCAGTTCTTGGTTTGCGGGCAAAATAAAAAAGGGGTGGGCTTGCAACCCGCCTCTCAACAAACTTTGAACCTTACTGACTTGCCAATCAGTAAGGTTCCCTTGCCAATCAGTAAGGTTCCCTTCCAAACAGTAAGTTCCCTACCTGATTATGTCAGCAAAACATCCTAGGATGTGTTGAAGTTACCTCAGTATAAGCATACTTGGCAACCGGTTGTGTAGTGATAATGACAGTTGTAACCTAAATGAAACCTATTTGAGAAGTTATTTAAGTAGTAATTATGTTTTACAGTTTCCTACTTTTCTCTTTTTCTCATTCAGTTTCATTTTGCTGCTTCAACTCATTCCGCACAATCAGGTGTGCTTGATTCGTCTTCTCCTCATCCCCAACTTGTGTAGTGTATAACACTAGTTGGTCTTTGATAAGGTTCTTATTTGGGCTCTTTCTCATTCTCGTATGTTCAAGAAATTCATTCAGTTTCATTTTGCTGTTTCAACTCATTCCGCACAATCAGGTGTGCTCAATTCGTCTTCTCCTCATCCCGAACTTGTGTAGTGTCTAACACTAGTCGGTCTTTGATGAGACTCTCTCTGCGCCTATTAGTTCTATAGGATGTTTTGCTGATGTGATTGTTTACTCTCTCTCCTCTCAAAGGAGAGAGAACCTTGATAGCAGGCTGTTTGCCTGAGCAAAAGATCCTAGGATGTTTTGCTGACATGATCAGGTCATCTCTCTCCTCTAGAGATGGCCTTGGGTTTCCGTTGCAAATACCCATTATCTGCTGGCGGATACCTGCCAAAGCCAATGGATACCAGCCAGCGGATGCGGATGTCTCATTTCCCCTGCTATCTTAGAGGATACCCAGGTA